CAGCAGACGGACAGGTAGCACACGATAACCTAAGAGATGCTTCCCGCTGCTGCTGCGCGCAGCAGCAGCAGTGGTCGCGGCGTGTGGCCATCATAGATGCAGCAGAGCTAGCTCTGAAGATAATACCTGAGCTGCTAGACCTGCAGCAGCAGCAGCAGCAGCAGCAGCAGCAGCAGCAGCAGCAGCAAGAGCAGCAGCAGCAGCAGCAGCAGCAGCAGGGGGGGAAGCAGCAGGTGCAGCAGCAGCAGCATCAGAAAGGATGTATTGGGTGGGCTCCCAGCGCAGAGCTGCAGCAGGGGCTGCAGCAGCTGCAGCATAAGGAGCAGATGATCAGCAGCAGCAGCAGCAGCAGCAGCAGCAGCAGCGGGAGAGGAAACCCGCATGCATGCATCCGTGTCTGCGAGGAGCTGCTGCGGCTGCAGGGGACACATAAACATATAAAAAGATGCAGAGCCATGCTTGCTGCTGTACGTACACAGCAGCAGCAGCAGCAGCAGCAGCAGCAGCAGCAGCAGGAAGCAGCAGCAAGAACTGGTGCTGCTGCTGCTGTTGGCCGCAAGCGGTGCAGCCACCAAAAGAAGTAAAAGATAGAGAGAGAAAGAAGAGAGAGAAAAGAAAAAAAAAGAGAAGAGACAGATAAAGGAGACAGAAACAAAAAGATAAATACAGATAGAGACAGAAAGAGACAGAAAGAAAGGAAAGATAGAAAGAGATAGAAAGAGATAGAGACAGAGAGACAGAAGAAGAGAGACAAAGAGACAGAGAGAGATAGATATGGAGAGGTAAAGTAAGGGAAACAGAGACAGAGAGAGAGAGACAGACAGAGAAAGAAAGAGAGACAAAGAGACAGAGATAGAGAGATATATATATAGATAAAGTAAAGGATAGAGAGAAAGAGAGACAGAGAGACAAAAGGAGACAGAAAGAGAAAAAAAGAGAGGAGACAGAAACAAACACAGAAAAAAACAAAGAGAAAAGGAGACAGAAAGATAGGCGGAGACAGCTAGATAAGGAGATAAGGAGACACAGAGATAAAGAGACAGAAAAAGAGATAGAAACAGAGAAAAAAAGAGAGAAAGAGAGACAGAAACAAAGAGAGAAAGAGAGACAGAAAGAAAGAGAGAGACAGAACGAGAGAAAGAGAGAGAGAAGGGGAGACAGAAAGAAAGAGAGAAAGAGAGACAGAAAGAAAGAGACAGAAGGAAAGAAAGAGAGAGAGAAGGGGAGACAGAAAGAGAGAGAAAGAGAAAAAAAAGGAGACAGCTAGATAGAATAAGGTTTATATTGGTGTTGCTAGCTGCATGCAGCAGCTGTGTTATTTGTGTGTTTATATGTATTTGTTTGTTTTCTCTTTATAGAGAAGAAAACCCTAAATACGTTTTGCTTTTGTTTGTGTTTATTTTTATTTTGTTTTGTCTCTATACTGCAACTACAGTGTACGTACACCTCAACTCTTACTCATCTTCTCCTGCTACTGCTGCTGCTGTCAGTGCTGCTACTGCTGCTGCTGCTGCTGCTGCTGCTGTTAGAGCTGCTGCTGCTGCTGCTGCTAGTGCTGCTGCTGCTGCTGCTGCTGCTGTTGGGGATCAGCGAGAGAGAGACAGAAAAAAGAGAGACACAAAAAGCAAGAAGAGGCGGAGAGGATGAATAGACAGAGAGAAGAGAGAAAGAGAGACAGAGAAGGAACCAGGGAGAC